TAATGTGTGACAACCTTAGATTGATTTAAAAATTAAAAAAGTTTTATATAAATTTGAAATGTCTAAATTATAAATTGTAATAAGAATAACTACCTATTAATAGATATAATTCATAATACTAAAATGACGTATCACCATCCACCAATGAAAAAAAAGTGCCCCCCCCCCAGAAAAATTGTCTGCATTCAACACTGCATGTTTTGTATTTCTTTTTACATAATATAATGAATCATATTATATAATATATAATTATCTGTTCTAATAGCAATAATATATTTCATACATTTATTTATTTTAACATCGCTTACAATAACAATGAAAGATATTATACTTAACAATTAATTTGTACCTATAGATCAACAATAAACACTACCAACYCCAAGTTCCACTTGGAAGTGTCCACCATGTCTTTCTTTAAGGTACAAAATTTTAGTCGAGTTTATTTTATACAAAATAATGATTATGTAATAAAATAATATTGAATGTAATTAATTAATAACACTAATGATTTGTGAAATAACTTTGTTTTTATTCAAGAAAAATAGTTATATAATATTTCATTTATTTTTTATTTTTACCTTGTTAAGATATCTTCTATTACAACAACAATTATAATTGTTTTGACATATAAGGTCCATCTAAGTGGTAACCAAGTTTTTTATAATAGTTTCTAGTACCAACACCTAAAAAAAAGAAATATAATAATTAGTGGGCATTCGCATACAATTTTTATATAAAAGTATGAGTGTAAAAAAGACAATCGTATATTATTTTGAAGTTATCAATATGAGGAGCAAGGCATGTGATGAAGATGGGGGATGAAGCAGAGTGTTGTAAAAAGGTTCATTCAAGTGCAGCTTGGAATTGGTGACACAAAAAAATGACAATCAAGAAAACAGCATAATGCGTGAAGTGGAGAGAACATGTTAGCTATTTTGTATGATAAGAGGATGCCCTCGAGATATAAGGTAGTTTTTTTTTATAAAGCAATTGCACGACCAGTCATGTTGTATGGGTTGAAATATTAGGCAGTGGAGTCYACTGTAAACTAACATAAATTACGCCATTTAATGATTTAAATATGGAAGTTTCTGATATACTGATACAGTGATACATCATAAGTTCATAACACAAATAATAAGTTATTTATGGTATAAATTTTAATTCATGAAATAATTAAAATTTGAAATATACACAAACCTGAAATAACAGCTATTTTGGTAGACTTGTGTTCCTCTAAAGATATTCTTTCAGCTTCTTCCATTAATAGCATACCAAATCCTTGATGCTGAAATTTGGTTGGATCTCTCGCTCGAACAGGAACTACACTACCATATACATGTAGTTCTCGTATAATTGAAACTCTTCMTTTTAATTCAGGTCTATAAATATAGTAAGCAAAATATTAATTTATAAAGTTCTAAAAACAAAATAAAATAAAAATATATTTTTACCTAAATGAATCTGTACATTTGCGCAATCTTAATAAACCAATCAAAATGTCTTGTTCGGGATCTTCATACGATAAAAATGTTTCCCATCCATTATTTGCAACATAATCTCTACGTATCAATTCAATCTAAAATWAAATTAAAAATAAAATACTAAGCAAGTACTTTTAAGTATTAACTATGTAGAATGAAGAATGCTTTAAAACAATAAAAAAAATTTCTATCAGTCTATAAATATTACATTTTTAATTTACRTTATTTTTAATTTGCTAAGCACGATTATAATTTTTATGTAATAATTTATATTATGATATACTTCAAATGGGCGAATTTTATTATGTATTTCTTGAATTCCGACTTCTCTAGTTCGAACATCCCGACATTGTAAGTTAAGATCTTTCATTCTTGCTAAAGCCAGTTCTCGTAAATTCCCGTGTTCAACTCCAGATCTATGAAAAAAAAAATGTAATATGAGACAAATAATTAAAGAATCTAATAAGTAATTTTAAACAGATATTATATATTATATTATACATACGTAACTAATGGCATTGGAATATCTCTTTGAACTCTATACACACGTGTCCACGGAGGAATAAGACTTAATATATGAGCAATTAAATCTACTAATTCAGATGGTGAATAACTACGGTATCGTCCGCTACGCCACAGCTCATATAAACCAGTACCTCTCATTACAAGAGTRGGGTAAATTTTTAAACCATCAACACGAAAAGCTGGATTTTCAAAAAATTCCTGAACATTAATAAATAAAGTCAAACAATTATATAATATATTTTAACCTATTTATATAGTTAAATTATACCTTAAACTGTTGAAAGTCTCTTTCTAGATCTACATTAGGTAAATCAGGCATCATATGTGATACAATTTTAAAACCACAGTCTTTAGCAAGATTAAATGTTTCACAAACTGCTTTAACTGTATGCCCTCTGTTAGTGTCTCGTGCAACATCTTCAAACACAGATTGCACACCAATCTCTAATCGTGTACATCCATAATTTAACATGTCGGTTAAATGTCTATTCAAACAATAATCTGGTCGAGTTTCAATTGTAATCCCAATACATTTTACATTACTTCTTTCMGAGTATCTAAGTAAAAACAATAAATTAACATCAAACATTTTTCCAAAATAAAAATGTATTATAGTTTAACACATACTTGACAGCTTCTCGAACATTGGAACTGGTATGACCAGACAAAGCATCATGCAAATTCCTGATGAAATAATCTCGGTAGTCTTCAGGTAAACTCATGAAAGTACCTCCCATCACAATGAACTCAACTTTATCAACATTATGACCTAATTGTTTTAGCTATAAACAAACAATAAACATAATTTATAGTTATTAAAATTAAATATAAAACTTAAAATATGTACAGTTTAAAATTAACAATAAAAAACATTGTTTATATAGTTAAATACTTATTTGTTATCACCCCACCACCAGGTTAACCATTCATTGTACAATGATATTATTTGTATATGTATCGTTTAAACTTTCAAGTAACAATAAATAATAATAATAATGATAATAATAAACTGTTTATTAGTAGCATAGTTAATAATTTTATTAATATCTCATGTAAAATAATAAGATAGTTTTATAAAAATCATTCAATGTCACACATTTTATTTGTTTAAATGATTTGTTGTAAAAATTAAATCCTCAAATTTACTCACTGTACACATAGTATAGATTTTAAATATTCAATAAACATTATTATTATTAAAAAAAAAAAAAGAAATTTAATGACAACATTACATTTTGAGGAAAATAACTCATTAAAATACATTTTTAATAATATTTTATAATAAACTAACGTTTGTAAGATAGGTATCCACTACCCACTTTCAATTATACAAGACTACAATATATTTACAAATAGATATACTGTCATGATTAAAACATAATGAAACAATATTTCAAATATTATAAATACTATTTAGGTACCTATTTTCCATACATTGATTATATTCTAGACTAACCTAAATGTACAATATCAAAAAAAAAAACAGAGAAATATCAGTATTTTAAATTTTAGATTAGATAAAATATTGATGATGTTAAGTTGCCAAGTGACAGGGCGAAAAATTATGGGAGGGATATAACAAACTACTACTCTTATTGAAACATTTTTTTAGTAGTGTTTGTTTAAAATTTTTATTTCACAAAAGTAAAATAAAAATAGACATAGATTACTTTGCTAATAATGTTGATGCATAAATATTGAGTATTGAACAAATAAGTAGTTTTTTAGACAATAAGACGATACATTTTTAGAGTAACCTTTTTTCATTTCATTGTACTTATGTAATCTTCTGTCATCAATGAAAAATAAACTTGTTTAATAATTAATACTTTTAATAGTTCTGCATCAACATTATTAGAAAATTATTATCTCTGAAATAAAAAAATTAAATACTAATAGTCCTGAGTGTAATAAATTGTAATAAATGAAGTGTTATATTCATTTCAAGCTTTTAACAATATTTTTTTTTTTAAAACATAAAAATTACCTAGAATAATAATTTACATATGTAACAAAATGTATAATACACACTATGATTAAATTAATGTCACAACACCTAGGTACCTGTTCAACTCTATGGCGGGTTTGTACATATGGATTGTAATGTGCTCGAATAGCTCTCATTGAAGTAGGTTCATATCCAGTATATGACTGTGTAGAATATTCAAAATCTGAATCTGGACCACCAGGACAATACACACATATATTTCCAGTCATATTTATGTGAGGACAACGATGTGGTTTACACATGACTGCAACAATTGCTACCTACATGATTGTAAATTAATGTATATGAGCATAAAAATGAAGTTTTTATTTAAATATAAGTAGGTGATTAGTAATTAAATTTCCATACTCACTCCACTAGCTGTTCTAACAGGCTTTGCTTTCAACTTTGGATACAATAATTTTTTTGCGTCATTGGGAACAGCTGAAATGATATCAACAAGCCGGGGAGATGATTTCAGTCCATATTTTGATGATATTTGAGACTTCAACTTATTCAAATTTACATCTCTGTTTTCCTTTTGTGCAATTAACAATTTTTGAATGATTTCAGCAACTGTAGAAACCATCCGTTCCTCATGGCTTAATTTGGATATGTGTTCTACAAAACAATTTTAAAAATAAAATAAAATAGAACATTCATAAAAATATATAAMATTTTTAATTTATACTATACTTTTGTGTTATTAAGAATTGGAAACTTTAATTTATTCAACTTAAACAAGTTATTATATATTTTAAATTAATATGAAGCCAATTTAATAAAATTAGTCAAATAACCAATAAAAAAAACAAATTCTTTTGATACAATATTGTTGGTAGTATGAAAGTAAGCTTAACATTATGTGCCTAAGTACCTATATCTAAGTATTTAAGTTTATTTACTCACCGTCTACTTCAGACATGTTTAAATTGTAGTAATTGGCAACTTGTCAATAACAATTTACAATACATTCATTCAAATAATATTGTTGAAAATTGATTTGCTTATCCAAAGTACAAACTTATTTTTGTCTTATCCTCTTAATAATAATATTTATAGAGGTGTACTTGGTTTTGGATCTTGATGTAGTGATGCTTATGCAATCAAACAGTAGTGCAGGCAGTAGCCACTAATTAGTAAGTGTTAAATCGTAAGTTCGTAGTCAAATATTCTATATAAATACTAAGGTAATAACTATTATGATTCCATAACAGTACGCAGAACTCGTACTTTGAAAGTTTGAAATAATTACTACTGTCTACTGCATACTACAAATGAAAGGTTTCAATTTTTCAAAGAATAGATACTACCACGTGAATCGAGATAAATTGATAACAAAAAAGTTGATTTGATTATAAGGTTTATACCRTKAAACAACGACCAAGTATTATTATTATCAAAGAACATGTTCTATGTTGTTAGTTTATTACCAAAAAAAAAAAACTTTAGAGAAAAAAGAAAATCCCGAGAATCGAAAACACGTAGTAATTAATAACACAGAATAATATTTCACGAATAAATTTTTTTTTTTAATAATTTCATTTATTCTGTCCTCGAATCAAGATGTCGTTCGGCAATTCGGCATCCTGTAGGTGTAACAATATCTCAGTTTGTGATTCTGTAGTGGTAAGTACCCGCGAAAATTCAAAATTATTTTAACAACCGTATATTATTATAAATCATTTTATAACATCAAAACTGACAGCACACGACTATCGAAACTATGGTGAACTAAAACGTCTAAAACCATTTGTGTCGCAGGTACGAGTGTAAGACGGAGACAACACCCGCGAGTGCGACGTCCTCATCTTAACATTCAATTATTTCAAAGTAAGAATAATTTAATCAAATTGTTTATTCAAGTGCATTTTTAATGCCTAGTAGTAGTGACGTAATTTTAGCAAAACATCAGGGGTTGCAAACATTACTCGGGATGCATAAACCAGTGGAGGCTTAGGCCCTAACATTATAAGAACAAACAATATTGTTATATTATTAAAATACATTAAAATTCTATATAGTTCTT